GCCAGACAGACAGAGAGAGACATAGAGACAGAAAGCGAGAAATCACCCCCCAGGGGGGATGGTCACGCTGCAATCTCTTCTCCTCCATTTTCCTCTCGGGATCTTGGGCACACACGCACACACGTGCTGGGCGTGAGTTTTAAGCCACCGGGTCTGGGACGTGAACCACGGTCGACCACGTGGGAGTCCAGTGACATAGCCATTATGCTAACTGCTGGTTCCCCGGACTGTAATTTCTTAAAGGTCCTATCTAGTTCTATTGTAGACAAGTACATTGGCGAAAGTGCTCGTTTGATCAGAGAAATGTTTAATTACGCCAGGGACCAGCAGCCTTGCATTATTTGTATGGATGAAATAGATGCTATTGGTGGTCGTCGGTTTTTCTGAGGGTACTTCAGCCGACAGAGTCAGAGAACTTTAATGGAGTTACTAAATCAGACGGAAGGATTCGATACTCTGCATAGAGTCAAAATGATTCTGGCTACAAACAGACCAGATACACCAGATCCTGCTTTGCTGCATCCAGGAAGATGAGACAGAAAAATACATATCGATTTACCAAACGAACAGGCAAGATTAGATATATTGAAAATCCATGCAGGTCCCATTACAAAGCATGGTGAACTAGATGATGAAGCAATTGTGAAGCTTTCAGATGGCTTTAATGGAGCAGACCTGAGCAACGTGTGTACTGAAGCAGGTATGTTTGCAATTCGTGCTGATCATGATTTTGTAGTACAGGAAGACTTCGTGAAAGCAGTCAGAAAAGTGGCTGATTCTAAGAAGTTAGAATCTAAATTGGACTACAAACCTGTGCAATTTAGTGTAAGATTTTTGATGGCTGCATGACAGACATTGACTCAATGTAAAAATGTAGTTAAGGAAAATAATGTATGTATTGGCAATAATCTCATTGAAAGTACTTGAATAAAAATATGCATCTGTGGGACCAGCAGTTAGCATAGTGGCTATGTCGCTGGACTCCCACATAGTCGACCGCGGTTCAAGTCCCAGACCTGGCAGCTTAAACTCACGCGGGGCGCATGTGCGTGCGTGCCCAAGATCCCAAGAGGAGAAAGGAGGAGAAGGGATTGTGGCGTGACCACCCCACCCCCCGGGGGGGGTGATTTCTCGCTTTCTGTCTCTCTGTCTCTCTCTGTCTTTCTGG